GAGCCATCTGCATGAGAGATATTTGAATCAACATGTATTTTCTGATGGTTTCAAATTTTGAATTATCCGAAATTCAGGGAAGGAGATAGAATTTGTTGAGAAATATAAGGATTCAAAACACAGGTTAAAATTTAATATTATTTTATTGATGACTACTTGTACTATTAGATTAATGATTTGAACGTCTTAAAAAATAATATTATTATATTCAATCTATTTTTAGAAATAGTGGGATTTCTTTTATAAGATAATAAAGATATATATATATATCTATATATATACACACACACACACCTACCTAATCCTAATAAAAGACTCCTAAACCACCACGTGTCCCCTTGATAGACCTATTTCATTCCACGTGGCACCTTCTTAGACCATCTTCTCTTCGTTTTCCCGCCCAAGAAAATTTAGAGGATATATTTGACAACTAATTATTGATATTAATAACCTATTATTGATTGAAATTCAAAATTTTTGGATAATTTGGTTACATTTAAAAAGTTTCCTTAATTATCCCTTTTAATAAAGCCCTATTTGTTGACTCCAACTGTTATCGCCTTCGCTCAATCTCTTTTGAAAACCAAATAACCTGTAATTCTTCTTCTGTCATTGATCAATTAGTTAATGTTTTATTTTTTTTAATTTGACAGGAATTCGTCATTCTTGGTATGCAAAATTGAGTTATTTCATGTTCTTCGCCAGGTTATGGGTTCTCTTTAAAGGTTTTTGAAGGTAAAATTGATTATGAAGACTTTGATTCACAGTAGGATCCCGATAAAGGTTCTTGATGCAAGATATTTCATGATTTTTTAGTTTTGATTCTTTTTTTGGTATGTAGTTCTAATTTTGCGATTTTGTGGAGCCAGAGCCAATACTTTGAGTTTTTGTTTTGGAGATTTTTTTAGATAATGACAACATTCGATTATGTCTAATTTTTATATAAATAAAAAAATATATTCACGATTTATTGGTTAGAAACCAAATGGAAGAAGTTTGATTCCACATTTAAATTTACATATGAAATATGATTATTATTATGCCTCCAATTGTCACAATTTTGGTGTTTCTATCTGTTACCATTTCTCTTCTTCAGTTTGTTGTTCATTACTGTATGTATGTGTGTGTGTGTGGTATTTGATTGTGATAATCTAATGATATTTAAACTCCTCTTTGTACATGATTTGGTGATGAAAAACTTAATTTTGATGTTGCATTCTATATGTTTGATAAAATGAACATAAGAAGTTCTTTTTCCTATGAAAGATTGTTACATACTTCAATGTATGTTTGTGTGTGTATGTATGTGTTACTTCTTTACTCCATAAATTTGAAATCTGGTGTGAAGGTTGAGACATGTAAAACTTTTGTTTGATATCTAAATGCTTTTGCTTTTATGCAAACCATCATATGGTTAAAAAAGAGCATATATTTTTCTTGCAACTAAATATAACTAATTTATAAGAACTAATTTTCTTTCAGAAAAATTGGAATCATGAGCACCTATATAATATATTTCAGCTTTCTATGTTTATCATTACCCGATTAACATTTGTGGTTGTGTCACTAACAAAGGATAATAAGAACTTGATGATACATCCACCGTTACCTCGCACAACTAATAGAATTTTATTACTTTGTAGTTTTTTATTATTTTTATTATTTTATTACATTTCTAAAATCTTTTTTCGGTCCATTTAGATTCTTCTATTGTATGGCGTCTATGTGTATCAATTGAGTGTAGAGCCCAGCTACCCTAACTGATTTCTTAAAGCGTGATCCTTCTAAGGTATATATATTTTCTTTTAAAGCCATATTATCAATTAATTGGTTTTAACTAATATCATTGAGTTGTATATCTATCATTTGGTCTTTATTGTTTTGAAAAACATTTACCAAAATGGGATGAAAATAAACTTTTAAATTGTTGTTATCAATTGAAAACTTGAGTTGCTCATATCAACATACTAATAATGACGGTATGCGAGTATTTCAATTGATTATGAAGGATTATAAGTCACTTACATAATGTTTTCAGTTAACTTTGAGCTAGTTAGAGTTAAAATATGATTGATTTCATTAAAGATTATTATCACATACAACAGGTTGAAACAGAGGATTATTGCGTGAAAAAAAAAGAAATATCATTTTAATATTGGTGGCATCACCATTTTAATTTTTATTGTACATGTAGAAAGGTCTCGCGAAGTTATTGAATTTGGGGTATGGTTTAATGTTGCTCTTCATGGATGCTGAGTTCAAGGAAAAACTAAGGGTGATAACGTCTAAAAAACCACTCTCTTTTAAAGAAAATAGTTCAAAAATAGCAACTAATTTAATATTATTGTTTTGTTTTTTTATAGCATCCTACTTTCAAGTGATAAATGCTAACAAGTTGATATCTCTTGTAGTGGCTGTCAAAAAATGTCTGATTAAAAATTGTTATTTGTTTTTTATAGCATCTTACTTTTAATGATTTGTTTGTATGGCATCTTAATTACTTTTCTAAATTTGTTTTTAAAGCATTTTACATTGGTTTTTTTTGTAGAATACTTCGTGTGCCGCAAAGAATTATTATTTTTTATTTTTTAAGACATATACTTGTAATCTATGTCAATGTATGCAGGATGCCACATGAGATTTGGCATAAATATAAAAGATCCTAAAATGTGAACTAATTTATGATAAGCATTAGTGGATTATAGTAAATTGTGTTTGTATTTTATTTTGTGCTTTTCTCATTCTTCGTATATAAAAATGTCGTATTCCCCTTAGTGTCGTTATTAAACGAAATTGTGACTATGTAAGAATAAAAATATTAATTTTGATTGTTTTAACATGCAATGCTATGAAAATGGTCAAAATGGATTGTAACTTTATTCTTGCGGTGAAAATGGTTTACCCCAAATTGATTTAAATTTTACCCAAATTCATTTAAATTAAAAATTAAACAGTTACAAGATAAAGTATCTAAGTTTATAAAAAAAATTGTTCGCAAATCTGCTACTAATTATTATTATGCCAATTAAATTTTAAAGTTGTTTTATTTTGCAGTGTTGTACACAAGTTATAACCTAATATATATATATATATATATATATATATATATATATATATATATATATATATATATATATATATATATATATATATATATATATTTACTATCAAATCCCACTATTTCTAAAAATAGATTGAATATAATAATATTATTTTTTTAAGACGTTCAAATCATTAATCTAATAGTACAAGTAGTCATCAATAAAATAATATTAAATTTTAACCTGTGTTTTGAATCCTTATATTTCTCAACAAATTCTATCTCCTTCCCTGAATTTCGGATAATTCAAAATTTGAAACCATCAGAAAATACATGTTGATTCAAATATCTCTCATGCAGATGACTCTTTCTTAACAAGTTTTTTATTTTAATCCTTACTTGTAATTGATTTCATCATTTTTAACTTTTTGTAATTTTATCTTATAAATATATTGGGTGAAGGCTTTATTATATCAGGTTTGTTCCTAAAAAGGTTTTTACTATGTTTCTTTAATGTGTTGGCTTTGCAGGTTCAAAGAACTCAACCAAGAGGACCAGTTAGAGCATTGTATTATCATTAGTTTGTATATTTTGGCATCTTACTTTTGCAACAAAGAACGGTTAAACACAAGATTTAACATGATTAAGGTAGTTTGTATATTTTTCATCTTGTTTAGTCTAAAAATGAAACATTTTTCATCATTGGTCCTTATAATATCAAGTTTCATCACATGGACTTCCTGATTACGGTGATTATTGTCCTTATTATAAGGTTGTATATAGATTTTGTTCAATATTTTAAGGTTTCGAGAACCTAAATCAATATGAATCCTTGAATTACATACCATCGTTGAAAATGTTTTAATTTGTGACCAAACTTGGTTTAAAATCACAATGAACAAGTTAACACCTGAGTATTTTGGCCCTCTCAAAGACCTATTTATCGACTTTTGAATCACAACATCTGATATTCTAAAGGTTTATTTTTATAAACTATTATTTATATATTTTTAGTATTTTACTTAGTAGGACATTAAATTAATAAAGGAATTAAGGAAAAAAAAGAGGATGATAAACAATACAAGTGGTTTGGGTATGTATAAATGGAAGTAATAACCATTTAGGGGGTGTTTGGCAAAAAAGCTTATTGCTTATTAGTTTATTAGCTTATAAGTTAATAAGTAAGTGTAGGGTAACTTATGAAAAAATGACGTATTAGAGGTCCCCTTCTCTCGACTCCCACCTTCCCTCCCTTCGGATGGGAATGAGCGAAACTTTGCTACTGCTTCACGCCTTCATCGCTTTGGTCTAGTCGACCCTGGAGACAATCTCGGCCTGCAATTCGACCGACGAAGGCTTATGCTCATTTTTTCCAACGTCGTTGATTTTATCTATGTCAATTCTTTCATGTTCAACTTCCTTTCGTTTGACTATCAGAGAAAAACGAGGGAATATGAGCCCTAATTTCATTAAGTTCGACCACTTAAACACAATCAGTATCTCATGAGATCCCTTTTTACATAAAAGCCCTAAATCATTTTGTGTTTATAAAAGAGAGAGAGAGAGAGAGAGAGAGAGAGAGAGAGAGAGAGAGAGAGAGAGAGAGAGAGAGAGAGAGAGAGATACAAATTTTGTTATTTTTCTTTTAATTATAAAAGTATTTAAATAAATTAAAAAAACAAACAAAAAAAACAAAATCTGAGGGCAAAATCGTCATTACAAAAAGGTTTAAAGTAAATTGGACCAAAGTGGCAAGAAAATTAGAACATTTGGACCATAAGTGCTAGTACAAATCTGTTTGGCCCAAAGTAGCAATTTCGATCTAACCACAGGGACCATTCTTGCAATTTTGTCTTAAAAAACTATTGAAGGACTATATGTACAAGTTTCAAAGCTTGAGGGGGTTAATCGTAACATTTTTCTTAAATCAGATATAAGTCGTGGCAGTTTATATACGGCGGTACGACCACGAGATTACGATCCTCTATGTTCTCCGGCGCGTTGCTGCACACGCCAATTCCGACGGTTCTCTTCGGTTCCTCCAGCCAATCGCCATCGCCACCGACCTTTTCGGCGTCTTACTCTTCTAAGCTAAACTGCAATATTCGTTTATCCATGGCCTCCTCCGTCAGGATAGTCATCGTCGGAGACGTTGTGAGCTTCGTTGTGTGTTAATTATTACGTGCTAATCGATGGATTTTTAGCTATTAATTATCTGTAATTGTTGGATTTTGAAGCATGATGACTGGAATCTCGAAGAAGATTCAAAGGCTCTTGAGCTATTGCGGGTAATTATGATTTATGTCCTTCAACTGCTTTAATTTCCACATTCCATCTTTTCCTAAGTTTGGCTTAATTTTGTTTTATTACAGCTCAATATGAACTAATCAACTCCTTTTTTGCCCTAAAGTAATATATAATTTTTATGAATTCCAAATTCGAAACGATATAAGACTGATTGAGGTGGTTCTTATGCATATAGTTCATAGTAGGAATGGATCCACAGCTACTTCTTCTGTGGATCATTCCAAACATTAATTGATTTTTTCATAAGTATGTATATACATTTGTGTGGGTGTGTATTCTACCTTGAACAAAATAACGAATTTATCTCATTTTCACTCAGGAACTTATTGTTATGCTTATGCATTTTTCTATTGTTAGTTAATAGTTGTTGTTTGAAATTGCAGCCAGATTTGGTGCTATTTACAGGCAGGTTTTTCGTGCAGAGCTTTTTTTCTTCTAGATTTGTCTGGCAAGATTTCTTTCATTTTTGCTTTCAAAGCAATTTCTTTATGAATTCAGTGTCTACTTATAATCTTTATATTGGTGCTCTTTTCTTTAATCATCTTCTTCTGGTTTTCTTTGCCCAGGTGATTTTGGTAATGAAAATGTTAAACTTGTTAGAAGCATTGCAGCACTCAAAATGCCCAAAGCAGCTATTCTAGGGAACCATGATGCCTGGAATACACAAAGTTTTTCTGAAAAGTAAGTATTAGGTTAGTCATTAAAGTGCAACAACTGCCACTGGACTATAATAGGAATACTATTTTTACCACTACCGATTTTATTCCCAAATTCAGTTACTGGCCAACATTCTGGAGCTAAAAGAACCAGCTTAACAATTCTGTTCGTAAAAATCATCAATATTTAAAAGGGCATTATGGTAATTATATACCTTCTTTGAAAAGAATAAAGTGCTTGCCATACATGGGTGAAAGAAAAAAAGAGGGGAGGGGGGGATTTAAATACTGATACTAGAAGTAAAGAAACACCTATATTACTCCACAATGTCATTGGAGAAAAAAACATATACCATGGCATCCATCCCTGAATTTTGTAATATACTGGAAATTTGGAAATGTCTCTTATACATTTATAGTGAGGTTAAAGCCCCATTTATATGAAAATATTACCTAACTAGGAAATTGAATAAAAGAAAGCATCAAAAGCAATCAAACCCACATACATATGTCTAACACTCCCTCTCAAGTTGGAGCATGATTATATCAAATTGTCTATGAGAGTTTTATAGTTGAAATGGTAAATTTGCAAGAACATGAACCGAAGGACTCTGAGCAAGAATGTTACACTTTTAACTCGTCTTGGGTGTAATACTTCCACTTGTGGCTTAAATACAGTTAGCAGGGGCAATAGGGTCATTTTCCCGTTAGATCATTTAGGTTGGATCCAGTCAAGGATCAATAGGAGTTTGTATTGAAAGTACAACACCTTTATGCATCCGGTTTCTATGCATCGAAGACTCTACATTTTATGTCTTATCTATTTTATTTAGTACTTTGTTTATTTAGTCTTTTGCAGTTTAGAAGTAGGGGTGGGTTATCCCATGTTCTGTGCTCCATGTTCCTTGTAATGTTTATAAGGCATGTGATGTTTTTGTTTCCGCAGTTGATCTAGCAATAACAAACACCCTTAGTGTGTGTTCTCCATACGTCTAATGTCTTATGTTTCCTGTATGTCTTTATCTTCATAGTACATTCAAAGAACTTTGTGTGAGTGTTGTTTAAGGTCTCTAGCAGGTTAACAAAGTGGTATCAAAGCACTGGGTCATGGCTGAAATGCATGAGATGCAGGTGGCTGGTGGTGTGAAGAAGCTTAATCAAAACAATTACAATACTTGGTCTACCTGCATAATGTCGTATATGCAAGGCCGTGATCTTTGGGAAGTTGTAAAAGGAACATAAATAAACCAACCAGAGGCTGAAGATAACAATGGTGTACTACGTAAATGGAAGATCAAGATTGGGAAAGCAATGTTTGTGCTGAAGAATATTATGGAAGAAGCAATGCTAGAACATATAAGAGATGCTACAAATCCAAATGAAGCATGGGAAACCTTGCTTACATTGTTCTCCAAGAAAAATGATACAAAGCTCCAGATGCTCGAGAATGATCTTTTGACAATGTCTCGAAAGGAGTTTTTGATTCCTTAATGGCTCAATCCTTTCATAAAGTTAAGGCTGTGTGCAGAGAGATTGGAGAGTTAGATCCTTTAGCTCCCATTGGTGAAACAAGGATGAAAAGGGTCATTATACATGGTTTGAAACCAAAATTCCTGAGCTTTGTAGCAATGATTCAAGGGCGGTCAATCCAACCCTCCTTAGTGGAGTTCGAAAATTTGTTGGCAGCACAAGAGACTCTAGTAAAGCAGGTGGGAGGTGGTACTGATAAAACCGATGAAGCTCTTTATGCTGAGTAAAGTCGAACAAAGTACAAGGGAGGTTCGAGTCAAAACTTCAAGCGAGATAAAGATAAGGCTAAGAGTTCCGACTCTCAAGGAAGGGGTCGTGATTCAAATAAAGGTCGCTATCACAACAAACGATCTTCCTTTAACTGCTACAATTGAGAAGTCGAACTTTCAAGCTAAACAACCCTTAGAGCTTATCTATTCAGATGTATTTGCGCTTGTGGAGCAACCATCAGTCAAAGGTTTAAGGTACATGGTAACTTTTATCGATGACAATTCAAGATTTGTTTGGGTGTTGTAAACTAGAAAATAGATTTAGGGTGAAAATAACCTTATTAATTGATATCTTATTACAAGAAGATGTTAGGGCATATAAAGAGGTAGGATCCTTAGACATAGGAAACCCTGCGAGCCCATGGGCTAAAACTAGGCCAATACATATGTACAATATTTACATTCCAATACTCCCTCTTAAGCTGGATCATAAATGTTAAACATTCTCAGCTTGTTACAAATTGTATATATCTGCGAACCCGGTAAAGCTTTGATAAAGACATCAGCTAATTGGCTTCCTGTTCGAACATGAGGAATAGAGATGGTTCCATCTTCTAGCTTTTCAAGAGTGAAATGGCAGTCTACTTCGATATGTTTAGTCATTTCGTGAAACACAGGATTGTTTGCAATATGGATAGCCGCCTCATTATCACAATACAAGTTCATTGGTTTTGATTGAGCAAACCCAATTTCACCTAACAAATTTCGTACCTATATAAGCTCACATGTAGTCTGAGCCATAGCCCTATATTTAGATTCAACACTTGATTGTGAAACGACATTTTGCTTTTTACTTTTCCACGAAACTAGGTTCCCTTCGACAAATATACAATAACCTGTGGTAGATCGTCTATTTGTAGGATCTCCATTGTAATTAGCATCTGTGAACCCTTCAATGACATGAGAACTATGATTTTGATATAGGATACCATGACGACATAAACTGACTTACAACACTCGTTGGAAAAGCAAAGCCTGGACGTGTAATCGTCAGATAGTTAAGTCTTCCCACAACTTTTCTGTATTTCTCTGGGTTCTCAAGTGATCTCCATCATCTGCTTTCAATTTCATATTCGGAACCATTAGGGACTCGCAAGGCTTTGTTTCAATCATCCCATAATCTCTCAGAATATCCAAGCAATATTTTCGTTGAGACAAACAGATCCCTTTTCGAGTACGAGAGACCTCAATTCCCAAAAAATATTTTAAAGGACCTAGGTTCTTGGTTTTAAATCAAGATGCAAGGAAATCTTTCAGTTTCTTGATTCCAGTTCCATCACTCCCGGTAATCACAATATCATCAACATACACTACTAGCAGAATGCCTCCAAAAGAAGATGAAGCAAAGAACATAGAATGCTCATAAAAGCTTCTTTGTAAGCCAAACTTTGTTACCACAACATTAAACCGTCCAAACCAAGCCCGAGGGGATTGCTTTAAACCATACAATGATTTACGTAACTTACAAACCCTACCATACTCCCCCTGAGCAACAAACCCAGGTGGTTGCTCTATATAAACTTCCTCAGGTAAATCACCATGCATGAAGGCATTCTTCACATCCAGTTGATGAAGGGCCCAAATCGTAAGTATTAGTTAATGAAATGAACAAGCGGATAGAGGATACCTGGCTATAGGAGAGAATGTCTCTGAGTAGTCAACCCCATAAGGTTGAGCATATCCTTTAGCAACCAACCGTGCCTTCAGACGAGCCACAGATCCATCTGGATTAACTTTCACCATGAATACCCATTTACAACCGATCGGCTTTTTACCTACAGGTAATTCTACCAACTCCCATGTATTATTATGATCAAGAGCATTGATCTCATCAATCATAGCATCCTGCCATCCAGAATGGTTCAAGGCTTCACCAATCATTTTAGGAACATGTATAGTATCAAGTGTAGAGATCATAGAGCGTGAAGCTGCAGACAGTTTACCGGAGGATACAAAAGAGGCTATAGGGTATGTACATGAACGCTTACCTTTCCTTAGGGTAATAGGAACATCAAGATCAGGTTCCTGTGTATAGGAAGGTGATGAATCACTCATAGCACATGAGTTTCATCAGTACTTGGATCTATAGAAGAAGATGGTATTAGATCGGGATTTGATGTAGGTCATTGGCGTCTATATACGTGAATAATTGGTGGCTTAATATGCTCTTCACGTTGTGTGGAGTTACATGAGCTAGGAGACTCGGGAGCAGGTATGGTATATACCAACAGATCATCAGACATGCTTGGGTTGGAACGATTAGTCATAGGAAAGAAGGGTATATTTTCATGAAATGTAACATCTTGAGATACACTGTATCGATTAAGTGCAGGAGAGAAACACTTGTAGCCCTTCTGAAGTCTAGCGTAACCAAGGAAGACACATATCAAGGACTTTGGATCCAACTTGGTTAGGTGTGGTTGGGTATAACGGACAAAACACGTACTACCAAAGATCTTTGGTTCGACAGGAAACAGTGACTTTGTAGGAAATAGAACCGAGAGTGGACTCATACCATCCAAGACAACAGAATACTATCCATTAACGAGAAAACAAACAGTAGAAAGCGCATCAGCCCAATAAGTTCTATGAACAAACATGTGAAATAAAAGAGCCCAAACCACCTCTAAAAGATGACGATTTTTTCGTTCTGTGACCCTATTTTGGGCTGGTGTGTCAACATAGGAAGACTCATGAAGAATATCATTTTGAAGCATGTAAGATTGAAATGTTTGAGACAAATATTCTTTTGCGTTATCACTACGAAGGGTTTGGGTGGTGATTTTAAATTGTGTTTTAATCTCAGCATAGAATGAACAAAAATGTGTAAACACTTCAGATCGATTTTTCATAAAATAAAGCCAAATAGTATGCGAATAATCATCAACAAACGTAACAAAATATTTAAACCCAAGTTTTGAAGTAATAGGGCATGGTCCGCAAACATCAGAATGGGCTAACTCAAATGGGGATGAAACCCGCTTATTGAGTCTTGGACTTAAATGAATACGTTGGTGTTTAGCAAACTGACAAGACTCACATTGCAAAGACGTTAAATAAGAAAACTCAGGACACTTCTTTAGATTCTGCAGAGACGGATGACCTAATTGACAATGAACTTCAAATGGGGATGAAGTGGATAACGCCAAAGAGTAAGGTGTTTGATGTTTGAATATGTATAGGCCATCAGATTCCTGTCCTCTACCAATAATCTTCTTTGTTGACGGATCCTGAAAGAAACAATAATCAGGAAAGAATGAGACAACCAATTTAAGGCACGGGTAATTTTGCTGACTGATAATAGATTGAATGAGAAATTTGGTAGTCCCAGTTCAGAGGATAAGGAAACAGATGGCGTAAGTTCAATGTGCCAGAACCAAGAACATGTGGGGTAGACCCATCAACGATCGTGACATGAGATGAAAATGTGTGTTTATCAAGACTAGAGAAGAGGGTAGGATTACTTGTCATGTGTCATGTAATCTGAGACACTTGAATCGATTACCCATTTTGAGGCAGAAGATAATAGGCATGTATTAGGGTTACCCGTCATGTGATCCGAGGCACCTGAATCGATTACCCATTTTTAGGCAGAAGATAATAGGGATGTATTAGGGTTACCTTTTTCAGCAAATGCAGCAGTTGAACCAATGGAATTTTCTGTCTTTAAAAGGTGTGCATATTCTTCTGCGGGTATGGTAACAGTGTTGTCTGATCAAGAAGCAACATGTGCTGATGAGCTTTTCTGATTTCTAGACAAGAGCTTCTTACAAGTGCGTTTGGTGTGACCAAAATCATGACAATAGTAACACTCAACATCATCAGAAGTTGAGATAGCAACCTGTGAGTCTGTAGTTTGGTTACTATGACTACCTCTAGGACCCCCTCTGTGACCCCCACGAGATCCTCCTTGGGAGCCACCATGAAATCCTCCTCGACTAACCAAATCACTATTATGATCAGAAGTTGTGGAGACTGAATATTCTAATTTCAAAAATATTTCTTGAAGGGAAGGAATGCCGGATTCATTCAAGAACTGAGATCTAATAGAGTCGAATTCTGGTCGCAAACTGGTCAAGAAACTGATTACAACCACTTGTTCTCTCCGAGTCTGCATAGCTTGGACATCAGCACTCAAGGGAAGAAGAGAGTTGAGCTCCTCATATACTTTCTTAAATTCGATGACACAAGTGGTGAGTGATCGATGTTGTTGTTCCCCACTATGAAAGGACTTAGAAACACTATAGATTCGTGAGATGTTGCTTTGTCCAGGATATAAGAAGTTAAGATAGTCCATAAGTTCTTTTACATATTCACAGTGACTAACCAGAGAAGAGACAGAAGGCTCGATAGTATTGACAATCTGCAAATACAAACGAGCATCACTTTGTAACCACAAATCAGAACCATCACCTTTTGGGGGATTAGATATGAGATGAGAAGCCATTCCCATGCTTTGGAGGTAGATCCGAGTAGTTTTGTTCCACTCAAAGAAATTGGAGCCATTAAGTTTGTTGTCGGTGAATCTAGCAATTACCGGAAGCAACTCAGGTACTTGTGGACCACTGCTGCTAGATGATTTGTCTCCTCTGGACATCTTTACGAACTAGAAACAAATAAGAAAAGAGAATGGCACTCACAAGATGCCCTAATCAGAAAACGGTGGTGTTGGAATACCGATGAACAGTACCAGAATAGTGCTCGATGAACATTACCCGATGAACAGTACTTTGTGAACAATATCGAATGAACAATACTCCGTGAACAGTAATCTCTCAATGCAAAAAACCCTCCAACCCTAAACATCGCTCTAATACCATGTAAACTAGAAAATAGATTTAAGGTGAAAATAACCTTATTGATTGATATCTTATTACAAGAAGATGTAAGGGTATATAAAGAGGCAGGATCCCTAGACATAGGAAACCCTATGGGCTAAAACTAGGCCAATGCATATGTACAACATTTACATTCCAATAGGTGTATTTCATGGAAGAAAGGGCAGAAGTATCCCAAAAGTTTAAGGAATTTAAAGAAGCAAAAAGAGACTTGAAATATGTTGTAATGTGTTTATGTTCAGACTCAGCTGAGTTCACTAACAAGATCAAGAGGCAACTGACATCCCCAAACACACCCTAACAAAATGTGGTCTCTGAAAGAAAAAACAGGCACTTGGATGAAATATGTAGAAGCATGCTACATGATAAAAATATACCCCGGAGGTTTTGGGCTGAAGCCATGCAAACAACTCATATGTAATCAATCGAATTCCACAACAAGGATTAAAGTTTGTGTCCCCTTTCGAACTACTTTGGAAAGTAAAACCCAATGTAAGCTACCTTCGAGTATTTGGGTGTGTATGCTATGTGTTCATACCTAACCACCTTCACAGCAAGTTAGAAAAGAAAACAATCCGGTGCATATTTGTAGGATATGACAAAGAGAGAAAAAGATGGAGATGCTGTGAACCAGAGTCCAGAAAATGGACGTGTCGCGCAATGTAGTTTTATCACACATATGTACATTCTAACTTCGTATTCGCAAATGGTTGTAGCTTCACAAGTTAAAGAAGTCAAAGGTAGCATTGGAGCTGTTCCAAATAAAATTTGGATCATTAATGGAATGATTGTTTAGAAGAATGAATGAAGCTATGACATCAAATACACATATTAATTGGAAGACACAAGTGATGAAATTCCTAATATAAAATTATCATTATTTTTAAGTGATTTGTATGTCAAAAACCCATCCCCAAAATCAAATACAAATTTCACACCTCAAGGGCCAAGGACACCTTAAGGTTCAAATTTAGACACCCATCTAATTATTTAACAATTCTTTTGTAAATAATAATAATTTAGACAATTTTTAATAAAATGCATTATCAACTTCTGATTTATTTATCTTCATAATTTATGATTACTATGTAATTAAATACTAGAAAAGTAAGAAATCTTCTAACTGTGTCCATTCATTTATTTTGAAGGGGGAAAGATGCTGTTCAACTCCAGCTGGAAAGGTGAGAGCTTTACTTATTTCCAGTTTTAAAGTTTTTTTTTTTTTAATCTTATTTCTAAGCTCAAAAACCTACATGACTCAATATTCTGATATAACAATCATGTTTAATACAATATCATATGTTCCTTTTAAAAAAAAAGAATCCATTGTATAATTATATTGTGAGATGACAATTGACAATTGACAATTGACATTTAGTTTTGGGGAAGAGCATGTTGGTTACCAAAGATTAGACTTCCATTCATTGAAGCTTAGTGTTGTTGGAGGACGCCCCTTTTCTTGTGGAGGTGAAAGGCTCTTTAGAAAACAACTTTTGACTAAAAGGTCTGTTTCCTTTTAAGTTTTTTGCATGTATCAACTTAAATAGGATTGCATTGAAGAACCCTAAACCCTGAACCCTGGTTGCAAGTTTTGAAAAAAATTGTAATGCAGAAAAGCACAACATACTTTCACCTTTTTTTTTTTTTTTTTTTTTTAATCGATTTAGCCACTGGATTGTTGTTCTACGATTAGTTTTATATTATAATAATATTTAAGTGTCCAAGTCTTGAGAAAAACCTTAAGTTCAATGGCTAAATCGCCAAATGGTAAAAAAAATTCACACAAAAAGTTCAATCTCTTACGATTTTTGTTGAACAATGATTTTGAGTAGGATGTTATAATAATACACAAATAAATGAAAGTAGGTTGCTATTTCTAGTATTTATACACGTGTTGCTGACAGATATGGAGTCGACAACATGAAGGAAAGTGCAAAGAGAATCTGTGAAGCTGCTGTAGGGACACCAAAGGATCATTCCATCATTCTTCTTGCTCACAATGGGCCCACAGGTACGCCATTTTCCCAACATATAAACATCTCATTTCATGTTTCATGGTCAAACGGTCAAATCAATTTTGCAAAAAATTTCTTGAGGGCTTGGCTCCAACATGAATGACATCTGTGGAAGAGATTGGGTGCGTGGAGGTGGAGACCATGGTGATCCAGGTGATTGATCATATATATATATATATATATATATATATATATATATCAACAACATACTTCACTTTCATTTATTAAGGGGCAAAACGGTGATTTACTATTATTTGTGGTACAGATTTAGCGGTTGCTATATCTCAACTTAAAGGTAGCACCAAATATTCCATTCCAGTGGTGGTGTTTGGACACATGCATAAGGAGCTGGCATTTGGAAATGGTCAACGTAAAATGATTGTGGTTGGGGATGACAACACCATATACCTAAACGGGGCTATTGTTCCTAGGGTCAAAAGATTCTCTCACAACACACTTCGAGCCTTTACTTTAATAGACTCAAAACATGGAAAACTCCAAAAAATAACAGAAACTTGGGTTTCAGTTTCATTAACCCAAGACACCACCACTATTGAGGAGGAACATATTTTATTTACTAATACCAACATACCCAATACATCTTCTGTATAATATATATATATATATATATATATATATATATATATATATATATAAACGTAAAGTTCTATATGAGTAAGTGGACTTTTAGGGTGTTACGATGGGCAGGTGGAGATGAGATGAAAGTAGTGACCCACCTAGATAAATGTTGAAAGGTGAAATGAAAAGTATTAAAGGTGATGGGGGTCGGATGTGTAACTAATTTTGTAAGTGTTGACTCATTCCTTTTGAATACTGAATACTACACCAACTTTACTTTACTTTTACTTTGTTTTTTATTGTTTAGGTTTGATAGTACACTCTTTTTAATCATGCAAATTGGTCTTTAAAATAAACTCATCCTTCAAGGATTTGGTAAATGGTATCTTTTGTTATTGGTAATGATGATATTAAGAGATAATTCACCACAAAGGAAAAACATATATTACATTGTAACAACCTAATTTTGAAGAATATGTTCGAAAATCAGATTACATGTCTTCGAAAACATGTGAAGCAATTTTATCTTCAACATCGTTTTGCATAAATAGAAGTATTTTATCTTGGTTTTATTTTCAAAATATTTTGTTAAAAGCATGAAGTTAATATTTTTAAAAAACAAGAATTGGTTCGCAAATCTAGAAAGTTATTTTCGAAACTATTTCTAGTTGATATGCATTATGTTTTTTTTAATAGAACAATTTGAGGTCGTATGTGCATTGAAAGATTGTCAAAACAAAGAAAATAAAGTTAACAAATAAGGTATTCATGTCTTCGATGTAATGTCTTTAGGTTCTTGGACTGCCACCTACAACTAGAGTTAGATGTCTTGGTAGATCTTGTTCCAACATTCTTTGTCAATCTAGGAACTGAAATTGTTTTCTGGCAAAAGGTTGTTAAGGAAGAGATAAATTTATTACTAGTTTTTTTGGTACATAATAATCAATTTATCTAGGAATATATTATGTAAGAAACTTTGTTATAAATAAAATTAGTTTGCTATAACCAATTTATTTGTTGTCTTTTCATTAATTGGTAACTCAAAACTTAGAAATAAGAACTCATAAAACCATAGTAAATCATTAATGTGTTTAGTGCGTATATATTACAAATTGAAACAAAATGATAAGTGTTTCTTACAACATTTTTTTTTTCTTCATAAATCTAGGAATAAATAGCTACTTCTTATGTGATAGTAACTCCCTCAAAAGATTAGTTTCCGACGCGTTTTCACCTGAATTGATATCAAACGAGAAATAGATATAAATTCCTAAAATTTTGTTACTATTGCTATGTACTCTACCATCCACATACATCCAACCATGGGAAACCATCCATATACATCCAAGCATGTTTTCACAGTTGTTTTTAGCCTTATTACTTATTTTAAATAGTGGCCAAATCGTAGGTAAGAACCAATTCGGAAAGTTGAATTACGCATTGTTTAGCCGTTTGCGACTCCAACATTGCATATCGTAATTAATTCATGCATTACACACCATATGTAGTGCGTCATTTGTTGTACCTGCTTCCTAGATTTCTTCTTGGCCAGATGATTTCTCTTGTTTTGATAATCTCTTTAAAAAAGAATTTGAATAACACTTACGTGTATGTCCTCACACACCTAACTCAAAAGGTTTTGATGGCCACCTACATACATTGATAACGTATTCAAGCAAAGAAAACCTACCCTTGAAGAGTGGATAAAATCGAACGACAAGGCGTTCAGGTTGCACTTGGTACCGTTAGGAACAAGGCTCCACCATGGTCGATACCAGAAAAATTTAAGTCGAGACGGTTCTTGGAGCCGATACCCCTCTCTCCTATCTCTCATCTCAACTTGTACCTTGTGCTTGTATATTTGTATCATATTATGTGGTAGGGAGGATTCCATTTCTTGGGTTGGGACTTGGGAGGGTTGAAAGTGAGAGAAAGAAATAATAGATTGAAAATGTATCCTTAAATAGATAATATATATATATATATATATATATATATATATATATATATATATATATATATATATATATATATATATATATATATATATATATATATATATATATTTCAAAATCATCAAAATTGAGTTATTTATGTTAGAAAATTGATTCCTTAAATCTAAGTGAGTTCAAAAATTGGTTCACGATTTCTGATAATGTTATTTTCGAAATTACTTTAGGTCTTGTAATCACATTTCGAAAACCATAAGCCATTTCGACAAAGCTTATTTCTGAACCATATTCCAAATTAACTTCGAAATATTTCATGGATAACCTTTTTGTCATAAATCATTTTAGGAATAAGGCCATATTTGAAAACCGTGGTCATATGTTGATATTTCTGTAATAAGTGGTTTCATTGTGATATATGTTTTTCCACATCAACATCTCTAATATGAATTTCTCATGAGAGAGATTTTTTTTTTTTTTCATTATATTAATCTTATTTACACTTCAATACCTAATAATGGCTTAATGAACTCGTTATTGTATTAAATATCAGGATGTAAGTTTGCAAAGGAATAAAAAGAAGAAACTCTTGTCATCTTTGGCTTTGTTCAAGGCATCGGCTTTTGTTAGGACACCAACTTCCATATATATATTTTTGGCTTTTTGACCTAGTCAATTTTGACCTTTTAAATTTTAAATAAATTTATTATGTTCTTTTTTTATTACAAATACATGTGTTTATTTATTTATTTATTTATTTTTACAAAAAGGAATTGAAGGAAGATTTACAATCTACTATTTACAAAAACGAGTTACTTTCCTCTAAAAATTTGGAGTACAATTACACTTTTTAAGCTATATGTGATTTCAATTTTCTTTTGAATTATGGTGTTTTCAGGTTATATTTAACCATTTTTGTTTCTTTATCTTCAAATATAGAAAAAAATAATGCATCTTTAAATACACTCTTCAACCATCTACTTTCAACCTAATTAGTCTAAAAATTGGTTCAACTTTATACATACTTTATGTCTCCTGTGGAGTTTCGAATTATTCTTCGTTACCGCCTCATGATTCTCATATTCTCAATTGACGAGATATGTCCAGTTTGTCGCAAGGCATGTTTGGATACATTTGGGGAACACGCGGTTCATTGTAAAGAGCTCCATGGTTTCAAGTATAGACATGATGTGGTTCGGGATGTTCTCTTTGATGTTTGTCGGCGTGCTGGTATATTTGTAAAGAAAGAAGCGCCAGTGAACTTTTTGACGGACCAGCAGGATGGCAGGTCCACACTTAGACCGGCTGACATTGTGGTCTTTGGATGGATAGGAGGGAAGCATGCGTGCGTGGATCTTACTGGTGTATCTCCTCTCGTTGGTTTGGGGAGCGGAGGTTTTGCAGCTGGGCAAGCCGCTGCTTGCAAAGTGGTAAAGCACGAGAATGCATGTAGAGAAAATCAACATGTGTTTGTTCCTTTTGCATTCGATACATTTGGTTTTCTCGTACCAGAGGCGGTGGAGCTCCTTCATAGAGTCCAACGGGTCATGCATTATAATGCATATCTCCTAGATCCACAAATGTTGTTTTCAAAAGAATTGGTTTTGCCATCCAGAAAGGACTAGCGGCGCAGCTTGTTGCCCGTTTGCCTTCGATCGATATGTATTGAACTTTTTTAGAAAGTTCATAAACAGAAAATATCATTTGCAACATTAAAATTATAATACTTTATTTAGTTAGATGGTTTTATTTATTAACCTAATAAATAAAAATTTCTATCTAATTTATTTATAGCTGAATACAAAATGATTAAAATCCAACATATACAACTTAGAAAATCAGTAATTATATTTCTCCATCTTTATTTTGCTTATGCCCGAGCAAGGAATTCGTAAAATTTAGTTGTTATTGCTTTCAGATATTGGCGTTTTCTTTAGGTTGTTAATGGTTGTTTCGGTTTGATATTCGTCTTCAGCAATCATATTTTATATTATATCGCACATTAACATCATATATTATAGTGTAGATTTTTTCCTGGGGGGTGTGGTCCTATATATTTTTCAGTGTGAAATGCATGGTTGACAATTATTTGTATATGCTTCATGCATCTTCATGAATAACCATATTTAGGACATGACATTACGAATGATCTATACATTCCAAATATATACTATGAGATAACTAATATTTATTTTCGTAAACTATTGTTGTAAGGAAAAAAGATGAAAAACTAGAGCAATTATTGTACAATCTCATTCGATATGTTTATTTATTTACTAGGTGTAACTATGTATTACATGAGTTAATTAAATTTTTTTAAATATAAAGGTCTGAATATTTAAAAACTTTAGATTTATAAGAAAATAAGAAAAATAATAAATTATTAAAATTGATTTTTTCCACATATCATTTTATGAGTTTTTCTATTTTAAACAATTCCACATAATACTTTAACGTAATAGATCAACCTGATGTTTCATGTCAAGGAGTTTAGTATTATGTGAAATTTTTTAAAACAGAAAGACCTATAAAATGACATGTGGAAAAAAAATTAATTCAAAATAACCACAAAATAACATTTGTCAAATTGAATGAGAGTGTGTCATGTGGCAAAAAAAACTTTCATTTATTAGAGTAAAATTTTCACATGGGTCCCTAAAGTAGTCTTTGGTCCACATTTAGTCCCTATTATATGCTATTTGAAACATCCCAAAATACGACCCAAAATTTTTTGTTGAATAATTACTAAAACACCATGATAAAATCATAAGGTAAACTCGCACGTCAATATCTCACAAACAAAAGTAAAGTGTTATGAGTAAACTGTATCAAGACCATATCAATCACATCTATGAAAATCAAAACAACTCCCAGGACGGCTGAAGCTGTGGTGTGTGTGTGCGATGCCATCAACCCGAGCTCTTCCCTTTGCTTGCGGAAGTACCTGAAACCAAAACTGAAACTGTAAGCACGAAGCTTAGTGAGCTCCCGCAAACTACCACATACCATATAATACATATAAACACATACTGGGCCTTGCCCACTGCATCGGACCGAAGTCCGGAAACTGCATCGGACCAAAGTCCGGAACTAACCAGGGCCTTGCCCTCTGCATCGGATCGGGATCCGGAACTACTGAGGCCTTGCCTCCTGCATCGGACCAAAGTCCGGAACTAACTGCATCGGACCGAAGTCCGGAACTGACTGCATCGGACAGAAGTCCGGAACATACTGAACATAGCATCACATAAGCATATCAACTAACATGAGTACATAGATAGCATACTACATCGGGATGTAACCCGGAACACATAACACAAAATACTGTCTGAGCCACGAAGGCATCAAACATACTAGAATCTGCATCGGACCGAAGTCCGGATACTACTGCTAGCTAAACGGGCCGGCATTGTGGCCTTAGACCCGTTCCTACTGAAAGGAAACTCACCTCGTGATCTGGCTG